TTCTTCCTGCCAGTCGTCGCAAGCTCAAGATGTTGGCCGTCAATGCACCGCGGAGATCAATGGCTGCGTTGATTCCGAGGAATCTGGCGGTGCGGGATGGCACTCAGCTTGGTCGCTGGAGTGCAGCTGCTGGCCATCGCGCTGCTGAGCGCCATCGTGCTGCTGACGATGGAGGCGCCAGACCGCAAGTCCCAGCCCCCAGGTGCACCCACGGAGGTAAACAACGCGTGGGGCTGGGCTCAGTCGCCAATGTGTTTGCTGGAGCCTGCCCCCTGGTGCACCCACGAGGTAAACAGCGCGTGGGGCAGGCCCGCCTCGAAGTATGCAACTGGAAGTGGTCAATGCATGGAGGTCGTCACGGCTGATGGCGCAAGTGGTGTTTCAAGGCGAAACAAACTGGAAGAGCCAACCAACCGTTTGCGGTTGAAGTGCGGCGGCCAATATCAAGCAATGGTGCAGACTACCGTGAGCTCGGCGTCTCAGCCATCTGCGAGCTCATAGCCAAAGACAAGCACAACGAAGACCACGATGCGTTGATTCGAAGAATCTGGCGCCGTGGCATGGCACTCAGCGTGGGAAGACAGCCGCAGCTGCGGCGCAGGGACTTCGTGCGGCGGCTCATCTACTTCGGGGAGCTGCTGCAGCTGCACGGGGAGTCCCTGAGCGGAGCCGCCGCGCCCCCCCCCCCCTTTACGCCAAGTGGCATGACCGCCGTGCTCGGCGTTGCTCTTAGTATTCTTCTTCTCCTCCTCCTGCTCCTCCTCCTTCTCCTCCTCCTCCTGCTCCTACTCCTCCTCCTCCTCCTCCTCCTCGTCCTCCCCCTTCCTCCCTCGTATTCCTCCTCTTCCTTCGCCTTATCCTCCTCGTCCTTATCCTCGTCCTGTTCCTCCTCCTGTTCCTCATCCTGCTCCTCTTCCTGCTCCTCCTCTTGCACCTCCTCCTCCTGCTCCTGCGCTGATCATCGGGTGGTGCGGGCCTGTGGGGCGGTCACGGTGGGGGGGAAGGTCTGTCACTCCTCGCATGTGCTGCATTTCTGGCCCACATGTGGGTTGCATGTCTGTTTGACGTGCGGTACAACGACCACGGAGGACCCACGTCATTTAGTTAACGAGTGCAAGGCCCGTACCAGGAAAGGTACAAAGAACATTCAGCGAATTCAGAAGGGGCGTTTTTCCCCAGCCGCGCGGGGCCGTCCAAGACGACCCAGGCCCGTGAGCTGGGCATAGTCAGGCGCGAGGCCGTCCTCCGTGGCCCGCCGCCTGGCGTGCTGATTGAGGATCGCTGAGTTCGCTGCCACCCCGTGGATATCAGCGAATTCCAGCGAACTCCTCCTCCTCCTCCTGCTCCTCCTGCTTCTCCTCCTGCTCCTCCTCCTGCTGCTCCTCCTCCTGCTGCCCTCCTGCTCCTCCTCCTCCTCCTCCTCTCTCCTGCTCCTCCTCCTCCCCCCGTCCTCCTCCTCCTTCTCTCCTCCTAGTCATCCTCCTCCTCATGCTGCTCCTCCTCCTCCTCCTCTTCCTCCTCCTCCTCCTCCTCCTCCCAATGCTCCTGCTCCTCCTCCTCCTCGTGCTCCTGCTCCTCCTCCTCCTCCTGCTGCTGCCCCTGTTCCTCCTGCTCATGCTCCTCCTCATCGTCCTCCTCCTCCTCCTCCTCATCATCATCATCATCCTCCTTCTCCTCTACCTCCCCCTCCTCGGGAGATTCGTGCCATGGCTAACAGGGGATCCGTCGTCCCCTATCCCGGGCTTCGTGGGGTTCTCGAGCGGACCAACAATTTGGGGGCCCACCCCTGGGATACACAAGGGGGGCATCCATCCTCGATAAGGGGTGCGTCCGAATAGCCCCATGGGGGCGTATCCCAGGATACCCCTTTTTTCTTAGCCGCCTCGTTTGTCGTGGAAACGTCGGGGGAGCGTAAGCATGGATTACTGATCCATGGATTTGGCGCACGGTCGCCAAATCAATGGATCGGGGAAGGTGCCCTCCCCAAAATGCGGCCTGTGTCGCCTCGCTCGGCGGCGGAACTCTGCAATTTTCCATGGCGTGGCTAATCCACGCCTCCTTGAGCCATGTTTGCGCTGGCCTGAGAGCAGTCGGAGGTTGGGGTAGAAACGTCGCCTGCGACGGGAAGCCCGTGTCGTTGTTCGAACCCCCCGGCGCTAGCGCCTGACACCGCGTGGACCGTTTAGCCCTGCGACCTCGCAGGAGGAGTGTTTCGACTACTTCGCGCCTCCCTCCCCGCGAGTTGCGCGGTCTGTCCGCGCCCGCCGCCGCCGATGCCGCGGCGGCCCTCTCTCTCTCTCTCTCTCTCTCTCTATATATATATATATATATATATATATCACTCTCGGAGGAGGATGAGGAGGAGGAAGAGGTTTACTCGGAACTGGGTGCCTCCCTGTTCTCTCTCTCCCTCTCTCTCTCCCTCTCTCTCTCTCTCTCTCTCTCCTGCTCTCCTTCTTCTGACCCGCCTCGCGGCGCAGCAGTCCGAGAACGATCGGCGGCCCTGCGATCGCCAGATCGTTGACATCTCTGGGCGATTCTGGGCCGCGGGGGGCGGCGTTCAGCCTGGCACGCCCGCAAGCACAACCCGTCTCGCATTCTCCTTCAGAGAGGAACGTCCCCTCCCCATACCCCAAACCAGGGTGGCTGCAACGGGGGAGCCGTGTCAGGATGGGGCGTCCACGAGAGCGCATGACGTCTTCAAAATGGCAAAACTTTTTCTGGCGAAGGACCCAACCATTTGCAGCTGTGGGTACCGCAATTGTGAAAATCTTCTTCGGTGAAACTCCCTATGGGGCCACGAAGCGCTGCACTGGGTGGGGTGGAACGCTGTTCTGGGTGAGTGGTGTGTCAAGTAAGGTTTCCGGGACGCATGCGGACGGTCCCACTGGGGGCTTCGGTGGAGCTCCCTATGGGGCGACGAAACGCTGTACTGGGTGGGCGAAAATGCCAAATTGGGCTTCCGGGACGCACGCGGACGGCCCCACTGGGGGCTTCGGTGGAGCTCACTAAGGGGCCACGAAACGCTGTATTGGGTGTTAAGAAATGCCACGTTGGGTTTTCGGGACGCATGCGGATGGTGGAACTGGGGCCTTCGGTGGAGTTCCCTACGGGGCCACGAAATTCTGGACTGGGTGGGTGAAAACAATGGGTGTTTCGGGCCGCTTGCGGACGGTGGCACTGGGCCCTTCGGTGGAGCTCCCTCTGGTGCCACGAAACGCTGCACTGGGTGGGTGAAAATGCCACATTGGGTGTGCGGGACGCATGTGGACGGTGGCACTGGGGCTTTCGGTGGAGCTCCCTGTGGGGCCACGAAGCGCTGTAATGGATATGTGGAATTGCCAAATTGGGTGTTTCAGGACGCACTCGGACGGTCCCACTGGGGGCTTCGGTGGAGCTCCCTATGTGGCCACGAAACGCTGTACTGAGTGGGGGGGACGCATGTGGACGGTAGCACTGTGACCTTCGGTGGGGCTCTCTATGGGGCCACAAAACGCTGTACTGAGTGGGGGGGACGCATGTGGACGGTAGCACTGTGACCTTCGGTGGGGCTCCCTATGGGGCCACGAAACGCTGTAGTGAGTGGAGGGGACGCATGTGGACGGTGGCGCTAGGGCCTTCGGTGGAGCTCCTTGTGGGGCCACACGAAACGCTGTACTGAGTGGGGGGGCGCATGTGGACGGTGGCACTGGGGCCTTCGGTGGAGCTCCCTATGGGGCCACGAAGCGCTGCACTGAGTGGGGGGGGCGCATGTGGACGGTGGCACTGGGGCCCTCGGTGGAGCTCCCTTGGGGCCACGAAACGCTGTACTGAGTGGGGGGGACGCATGTGGACGGTGGCACTGGGGCCTTCGGTGGAGCTACCTGTGGGGCCACGAAACGCTGTACTGAGTGGGGGGGGCGCATGTGGACGGTGGCACTGGGGCCTTCGGTGGAGTTCCCTATGGGGCCACGAAGCGCTGTACTGGGTGGGTGAAACGCAAGGAAGAGGGGGACGAGGGAGGAGGAGGGAGGAGGGGGAGGAGGAGAGGAGAGGAGGAGGAGGAGGAGGAGGAGGAGGAGGAGGAGGAGGAGGAGGAGGAGGAACGCGGGGACCGTCTCTCCAAAACGAGGACCCAACAACACAGGTTGGTTGGGAAAAACGGTTGCCCCAATGTGGACTATATCCAACCTTGGCTGCCAGGGCGGGCTTCCCTATACGCCACTAGAAGGTTCCAGGAGTCAAGGTAGAAGAGGGGATGGCTCCAGGGCGACGACGACGAGCTCCGAGAAGACGGGGCAAAGGTAGACGAGGGGAGGAGACAGAGAGATATTGAGGACGAGACAAGGGAAGGGGGATGTAGAGGAACAACAGACCGCACAATCATCGTTTGTCGGAAGTCCGCGAAGATCTCTTGGATCGGCGCTGGACCCCATCCGTGGCGCGCGGAGCGCGCCAGGGCCCCTCCGACAGGGGGGCCAGGCGTCAGCCCGAGAACTCCGCGCGACTCTCCGAGAAAGTACATTGTTTAAAGGTTATTATTGTTCGAAGATGGGGAGGGGAACTCTGCTTGCGATTTCCACTCTAGGGACCCTGTGCCTTTCAATGTTGCCATGGCGAGCGACTAAGCGGCTTGCCAGGGGCGTGGCGAGAGCGCGCTCAGAAGAAGCCTCTGTGGGGTCGCAGAAGTCCTGCCATGACTTCCACGCAAAATGTACCAAGGTTCCCTGGGCTGTCCGCTCTCTTCAGCGTTTGATGGGATTCTATAGAGGCTTGATTGGGAACATGGGCTGTCGTGGGATAGCCATACTGTCAAAACAGGTGATGAGGACGCACGGTAAGGATGAAAGCATCGTGGACCCCCACGTTGAAACGTTTTGAGCGGTGGACGGCCAACGCAAGGTGCGTTACTCACCGAATGACGAGCTGAAAAGGCAAGGCCTCAAAGGTACTCTTGGAAAGTTACTCGCCATTGGTATCAGTTGCCACTGTGCGGTGGCAGGGAAGGCGGCGGTGCGCACATGGAAGGCGAGATGTCATAGCCGATCCAGACGTGGCCAGCGTCGCTGCACGCCTGCGGCGCGTGGCGGCACCAGTGCCGGCCCTCAGCACGACGAACAGCACGACGACGACTTGCGTGCTCCAGCGTTAGCTTTCAGAAGTGCTGGCGAGACCAGCCTGCAGGGATTCGTGCAAGGCTTTGCTGGGACGCTGCAGCAGAAGACCTCAGCCAACAGCCTGCAAAGTGGAACGAATCCCAACCCAACACCACCTGGCCCGCGGCACGCAGAAGCAACCCCAGACAGGACTGACCTTTGGTGCGCGGCTTTACGGGGCCGCCGGGGAGGCGAAATCCAAGCGCGCGCGAACCAGTGCTGTGCCAGACGCCTCCAACATGGGGTCCAGGTAGATGGGGTAGGAGGATCGCGCCGCATCGCCGATGCATCGCCGATGCCTCGGCGACGTCGGCGATAAATTGGTGACGTCGGCGTGGAGAAGATTGGGCTCCACACCGATCCGCATCGCCGTTGCAGCATCAACGATGCGGCGCGATCCTCCGACCCCCACCTACGGTTGGACACAGGACAGAAGAACATCCGTGAAACCCTCCGTCGGCCAAAACACGTAAAAATATAGGATCACCAAGGGTACCCTCCCCCAGGATGCAGGAGAACATCCAACAAACACGAAAAACATGAGTTAAGATACCCTCCCTGGACCTACCTCGATGTTATACCTCGGTCCGATCGATCCGACCGTACTCCGACGCCATATGTAAGGGACCGGACTCTGCAAACCGACGTTTTCTACGGCCCCGTAGTGAACTCGCACAAGAAAGCGGTACGGGATCCTGGTGTATACATTTGTCGTCGTTTCCCCGGGAAAACGGGGAAAATGGTACACACCACACCACTTCGACGTCGTCCCCGTTATTGAAAAACAGCCCGCCACTGGTAATACATATGTTCGGACGTGCGGACTGCCCTCTGGCCCGCACAAGTGGCAACTCCGGCGAAGAGCCGCTCTCGAGCGTAGCCGGCCTGGCAAGGACCACCGCATCGTGCGGAGAGAGAGAGAGAGAGGGCCAAGGACCGGCGCGCAGGCGGTGGGGGGCACCCAGGCGAGGCCGTCGGGCGCTGGGCTCGAGCAGTGGGCATGCCCTCGACACCACCGGCAAACAGCCCTCGTGCCGACGCGCGGCAAACTTTGAAGGACTCCGTACGCCACGACCATGTGTTATGCACGTAAGCACCCTGCAGTCGCACCCTGCAGCAAGGGCTCCCAACTTCGCGCTTCGCGCTGCGCGAAGCGCGAAGCGCGAATAACTTCGCGCCCTCGCGCCGCCCCCCCAAAGGGAGAAGAGGAGGACGAGGAGGAGGGGGAGAAGGAACGAGGACCGCGAAGCGCGAAGCGCGAATAACTTCGCGCCCTCGAGGGAGCCCTAGAGAAGAGTGGGGGGGCGACGGGACGTCTGCAGCCTGCGAGGCTCTGAGGCTCCAAAGTAATACCACGAGCCCGCCGCACGCGCCTGTGGTTTACAAAGTATACAACGAGCCCGCCGCAGGCGCCAGTTTTCGCTGAAGCAATGTGAGTGGGTCGCGGGGTGGGTCGCGGGGTGGGTCGCGGGTGGGTCGCGGGGTGGGTCGCGGGGTGGGTCGCGGGTGGGTCGCGGGTGGATCGCTGGTTGGTCGCGGGTGGGTCGCGGGTGGGTCGCGGGTGGGTCGCGGGTGGGTCGCGGGTGGGTCGCGGGTGGGTCTCGGCTTGTTCGCGGGCGGGTCGCGCGCGGGCTGGGTCGCGGGTGGGTCGCGGGCGGGTCGCGGGGTGGGTCGCGGGTGGATCGCTTGTGGATCGCGGGGTGGACGACGCAACAAAACAATAAGCAGAATCCTCGCCGTGGATCCCCACTTCAGCCATGCACTCAGGAGATGGAATGACCGTTCGGCTCCCTCACTCTGATGTGTGTTACATACAAATTGAAATCAATGATTTTGACCTTTTCGGGCCTTCCTGGAGGCCCTCTTGGAGGCCTCCTGGGGGCATTTGGGGCGGACAGCTAAGATTTTCGGTCCGTGTTCCCTCTTGGGCCCGTTTTTGGGACCGTCTGGGGCCCTCTTGGGCAGTTTTGGTCGCCTCTTGGGCCGTCTTGGGGCGCTCTTAGGCCGTCGTGGGGCCCTCCTGGACGCCTCTTGGGCCGTCTTGTGGTGGTCTTGGGGGCCTCGTGGGCCGTCTTGGGGCGTCCGGAAGCCGACAAGGCGAGAGCGCCAACATCCCCCAAAAGCGTAAGGCAAATCGATGGTCTGGGGACCCTCTCAGGAGTTCTCTGGAGGCCTCTTGTGGAGTCTTGGAGGCGTGTGTGCCATCTTGAGGCCATCTTGGGCGTTTTGGATCGATTGTTCGGCGACTCGGGGCCTTCTTGAACTTATGGGAGGGTTTGGGAGGCCACCTTTGTGTTGTGTGTGGGGGGGCACAGCGTCCACATGAGGCGCAGGAGCCACCTCAGAACTCACAGTAGCCAGCCCGGAAAACCCAGGAAAGGCCTGTGACACGGCTGGTTCAGGCCCTTCATGACTTACGATTATCGCTGCAGCAGCAGCAGTACGGCGTCCTCCTAGCAGTGCTACATGAGCCTTGGGGCATCCCACTTCATGCCAGAGGCACAGTGGCGGATCTGCACAGAGAGCCCCCAGGATTGATCTTGCGCCTCATGGGAGGGTGGCGGTGTAAGAATTTCCGCTTAGAGCCAGCGATGTTGTACATAGAAAGGCATCGGGAAAATTGGTCGGGGGGTGTCTTGGTATAGCAGGTTCGCGTCGCGTCGACGCGGCGGCAATCCCGCTGCGAGCGATCAAGGTTGAACGCCGCCAGTACCCCCGAACCGGCATGGAGCGATCTGGCTATCGAAAAGCCGCCGATCGTTCAAGGTTGGCCGATCCACGCGGTGTCAGAAACCAACGCCGGGGTCGCCACGACACAGGCCTGGCGTGTATAGACACACACACATATATACACACATACATTAGTTGTTCAAGGATCGAACAGGCCTCCAAGACGCTCAAGATGGCCTCCAAGACGGCCCAAGAGCCTTCCAAGACGTCCTCAAAGAAGGCCCGAAAGGGTCAAAATGGACTCCAGCCGGCCAAGATGACCTTCAAGATGCCCACGTGTTCTCCGAAGGCTTTCCAAACCGATTCGGGGAACACATGGTCCGAGAGTTTGCCAAGTCTGGCCTCAACGTTCGGCCACATGGGCGCTTCCAAAAAGGCAGGGGGCGGCGGTGATTCGCCGTAGGCGTCTTCGATCCGCCGCCCCCTGTCGATTCATCGCATGGGTGCCTGGCGTGCTGAACCCTTCGGTTTTGGTTTTGAGATTGTTTCTTTTTCCAAAAGAACTCCCTCTGGGGCTTCGGCCCGTCCCGCCAGCCACCCGGAAAGGACCTCAAGGAGTACAAGTCCCCAATGTTTCGCTCAAGATGGCCCAAGATGGCCTCCAAGGTGGCCACGTTGGCCCAAGATGGCCTCCAAGATGGTCCAAGATGGCCTCCAAGTCCGCCCAAGATGGTCCAAGACGGCCTCCAAGACGGCCCAAGAGAGTCCAAGACGGCCCAAGAGGCCCCCCAGAGGCCTCGAAGACGGCCCAAGAGGCCTCTAAGAGGTCCTCCAGCAGGGCCCGAAGAGGCCAAAATCATGCATGTTCCTGAGGTGTTTGAAGGATTTTGGCATTCGCTTCTTCTCGGCTTTCCGACGACCCACGACGGCCAAAGAGGCCCCCAAGATCGCCCCCACAGCGCCCAAGAGGCCTCCAGGATGGCCTCAGGACTGCCCAAGGGGCCCCCAAGACGGCCCCGAGAGGGCACGAAGACGACCCAAGAGGCCTCCAAGGCGCCCAAGATGGCCTCTAAGACGGCCTTGGAGCACCCAAGAGGGCCCCAAGTCGGCACAGAAAGGCCCCCCAAACGGATTCCGACGAGGTCGGACGGGCCAGGGGCTCACCAAGACGGCCGAAGATGGCACTAAGATGGCCCAAGACGGCCCAAGAGGGCTCCAAGAGGGCCTCCAGGAAGCCCGAAAATGCCAAAATCATTGATTCCCCATGAGTTGTTCCAGGATTTTGGCATTTGCGTTTTTGTTCAGCCTTCCGACGGCCCGAGACGGCCCAAGTGCCCTCAAAGATCGCCCAAGAGGCCCAAGACGGCCCCAAGAGGCCCCCAAGACGGCCGAAGAGGCCTCCAAGACGCTCAAGATGGTCTCCAAGACGGCCCAAGAGCCCTCCAAGACGTCCTCAAAGAAGGCCCGAAAGGGTCAAAATGGACTCCAGCCAGCCAAGATGACATTCAAGATGCCCACGTGTTCTCCGAAGGCTTTCCAAACCGATTCGGGGAAATAGTTTGCCAGGTCTGGCCTCAACGTTCGGCCACATGGACGCTTCCAAAAAAGGCGGGGGGCGGCGGTGATTTGCCGTAGGCGTCTTGACCAGGTAAAAGGTTGGCTTCGGGGGGGTCAACGACTGCTGAAACAAGGGCACCGACATGTCTTATCGAAACCTAGCGGGGAACAGCAAAGCACCTTCCCTCCGAACTGCATACATGGGGAAAGCAACAGATGCCGATACCTCTACTCCCCAGGCCTCTCCCGGGGTGCGTTCGGACCAGGACTTCGAGGCCAATGCACCCGTGGCGACGAGGGCCTCCCAGAAGGCACCGAGGAGGCGAGAACGAGGGAGGAGTAGCGGCATCAGTACTTTCCCTCTGAGCTGGATGGCGCCGCCCGCGCACCAGCGGGCACGGCCGAGCGCAGTGAGGGTGAGATGGGGCGGGTGTAGACACTGGCCATCGCTTGGACGTCCATTTTCTGTGTTTTTTTCTGTTTCGTACGTGGCTTTTTCGCGTAATGATCAAGGATGCTCCTCGATGGTCCTCGCCGACAACAAAATGCACACGTCCGAGCGATGCCAAGAGACAAGCGCGCTCCACTACTCGCAGACAGTAACTGCTCGCAGATGGCCCGGGTCCGCCGCGGGAGGTTTGCGACCCAGGGCGCAAAGGAAGACACACGAATTTTGCTCGGACGTTTTTGCGAGCAGGCACCCTGCGAGTAGGGGAACAGGGCTAAACCTCAGCGGTGTGTTTCGTTCTCGTTTTGCTCTCGTTGTTCCCTCGTTGTGTCTTCAGTCCGCCTCTACCGCAAAAAGCGAGGTCGAAGCGAAAGCGGCCCACGAGATCGCCAGGACGCCGTGGAGGTCCAGCCCCGTGGTGGAGTGCGCTCGGGGCGGGCGGGCGCCGCGCGGGGCTCACCTGGCCGCTGATGCCGGAGCCGCAGCCGATGTCCAGCAGGAGGCAGGGCCGCTCCTGCCGCGCGCAGGCGCTGCGGGCCCACGGCGCCAAAAGAAGCCACCGGTGCGGAGAGCGGCAGGGCAGGAATCGGGTCGGGCGAGAAAGGGGGGGATAGCAAAGGGGGGGGGTGAGAATCAGCTCACGCAGCTGATTTTCCCGGCGCCTCCCGGCGCCGGAGGCGGCCATGTATCGAGGAATGGGCCCCTCGGTGAGGCCGAAACCAGCTGCATGCAGCAAATTTCGTAACCCCCCCTTTCGCCCAGCCCGAAGGGAGGCAAAGGCGCGGAGGACCACAGGGAGTGCCATGAGAAGGGAGACGAAACCACAGCACACCCGTCGGTCGGAAGAAGCAGGCAGAAACGTGGCGTGGGATGCTGTTGAAAGCAGACTGGGTGTCTGGCCACCCCCCAAGAGAGGACGGGACAGGTGGAGCCCACTCGAGTATCGAGGCAGGAAGGCGCTCAAAGCAGATTGGAATCTGGGAGTTAAACGACCCATGGGTAGACATCAACTTTTCTCGCGGATCGCCTTGGCTCCCCCTGGTGGCGCTGGGGTCCCCTGGCGGCGCCTCCGGCGCCGCCCCCGACCCGCTCAGCGCGCCAGGGAGGGGCTACCAGCGCTGATGCCAGGCATTCGCGCGGTGCTCCGAGAGCTCCTGTTCACGCCGCTGTGTCTTCGATGCGAGAACGATTCAAATACACCACCACCGCCTGAGAAAAGTAGGATCGCAAAAACGCTCCGAACAATCCCCACGTCACAGACTCCGATGCCCGTTCGGTACACAGCAGAACAACAACGATAGACGACGACAACCACGCAGTCGGCGAGCCTTTGTGTTCCTCGGATTCGAGGAACGCAAAGGGGCGCACGACCACACCAGGTGTCATGCATGGCCCGTGCAAGATGTGATCGCCGATCGGCCTCACAACAACATGTCAGGGCTGAACCTAAACGGTGTGTTTCGTTCTCGTTATGTCTTCGTTGTCTTTTTTTTTGTCTCGAATCAACCTGTACCGCAAAACGAAGTCGAAACGAAAACGGCCCGCGAAATCACCAAAAACACCGTTTGGGTCCAGCCCTGCAACATGTATCCACCAGTGGTGACCTGCCAAATGATCACCCACTCCCTCATCGGCGCTATACCTGCACTCGCATACATGATGGCTACTGTCGAAAAGACATAACAAATCACCACACCACGGCCAGCAGCCCCGACGATCGTTCAAAATTGTATTACATCGCAACACCTACGCAACATCATTGCAAACTGTTGCTTCACAGGCCTACCTAAGAGTTGTTCGCCACTCGTTCTTGCCACCCTCATTACACCTTCTGTGGCTACCACACGCCCGCCCCGTGCATTCATCACCTCTATATGGTTATAGCTTCAGGACCCGAATAATGGCTACATGAGCCACATCCACTCGGCCACAGATCGGCTGGCTGTTGCTTCCCTCACGATTATCTACCATCCTTCTCGCTACTACGTGCGCGCACGTCCAAGACCATGTTCCTTCATAACCCCGCCGGGGTAGGCTCACAGATACGTCATAACCACTTTAACGCGGCGCCTGACCGCCCGCTGATGCCGCACACGTGCCTCACCATGGCCACTTGGTAGCCACTACTCAGGGACATCCTGGCTCTATCACGTGGCTGCCTCAAGAATGGCGCGTCGTGTCCACATGGCTACCTCAGACGTTCTGGCCAAGGGCCAACTCAAGCCTGGCTATGCCTTAACTGCGCCAGTTGTTGCATGGTTCAGCCACACCCACCTCTTGAATGTCCAGCAGCTGTTTTTCAGAAGAGAGGGGCGCGCGAGGGGTAGCGATGAGGGAAAATAAGTGAACAACAACAGGAAGGGAGTAAAGTACAAGGGGGACGCGACAAGGAAGAAAGGAGGCAGATGAGGCGAGAAGGAGGGGGCGGGCGACAAGCAGGTGGGAGAGAGAGGGGGGAAAGAGGCAGTAGGAGCAGTGCCCCTATTGCCCTGTCTCTCTTCCTCAGCAGGCAGGTGCAGGAGGAGGACACATGGGGAGACAAGACAATACCCATACAACTACAATGCAGGCCCGACGACACCGCAAGAAACCAAACCGTGAGATCCCAGGGCGTCCATTGATTGTTTTATGGGAACGTCACGCTCTCCATCTCAAAACCATCGAATCCCAAGGAATACAGGGCACCCTGGAGGCAAGCAAGGTGTTTCCTGGCATGGGTCTCCACTGTACTGCCTCGTCTCTGTTCCTCAGCAAGCAAAGTCAGGAAAAGGACACATCGGGAAACAAGAAGATATTCATACCGCTACTCAACGGACCTCTCCCCGTCTGTATTCTTCCAAGGAGAGCAGCCGCGCCTGTATCTCTTCTCTCCTCTTGAATGTAGGTCAGACATGTCCTCCTACAGGCGGATTCTGGAAGAACAATGAAAACATGTCACAAAACAAAACTCAAACATAGTCAACACATATGTTCGACAAATCGTCCCCAGGCTATCCTTCAACTAGTTTCGCATACTCCTCCGGCAAAGGGACATGCCCGCCTTGACTCTAAATAGAAGCGAAAAAAGGGAGGAGGGCCAGCAGCGGGATGAGCAGGAGGGTGCCCGCAGTCGCCCAGAGAGCACTGCCGGCTTCGGCAGGGTCCGGGAGCAGGAGGAGCTCCAGGGCGCGCTCCTGGGCACCGCCGCCCGCTCGGGCGGAGGAAGCACGCTGCAGGTCACGAACAGAGAGCCCTGCACGAGCGCCAGGCAGAAAAAAAGCTGGACGGGGGGGGGGGGGGGATGATGATGATGTTTGATCCGAGCTGGATTGGCCTCAAAAGGGTTCAGGTCAGTGACGAGGCTTCAGCTCGGGCGGGACTGTGCCGAACCCACCTGTGGCCTCGCTGGCTGAGCGCTCTCGAGCACTCTCGAGCGCTCTCGGGCCGAACAAAGATCTGGAAGGGGGGGCTGGAAACTTGGAGCCGCCCCCCCAGCACAAAAAACTCGAGGCCCTGCGAAATCGCAGGGGCCCCCCGCCCCGACCTCCCACCCGAGGGGGGGAACGGGCGGGGGCTCCCACCTTCGTGTCGGGGAGACGTAAGACCCGGGTACGGGGGACTCGGAAATCCCCGACGAGGTCGTCAAAAAAATGACGAGGCCGAGCCTGCATTTTGACGAGGCCTCCCGCTGCAGACATCCCACGAAACTCCTCCTCGTCAAAATCCGAGTCGCGGTCGTCAAAAAACGATGGCGAACCCGAGTCCCGGCAAACCCGGGTCTTACGCTCCCCCGATCGTGGGCCCTGGAAACGACAGGGACGTTTTTGTACCGGTTCCGTTCTGCCGCTTTTGTTGCGCGACGCCGTTTTTGGACCGGTTCCGGCTCCGGCTCCAATCCTGGAGCCGTTTTTTTGCTGTTTCCGGTCGCCGTTTATTTACCGTTTCCATTTTCAAGGGACATTTTTTGGGAGACGGTGAAAAAACAGCCCTGCCGTTTCCGGGGCCCACAAAGGCTCCCACCACCCCCCCCGGCGCAAGGGGGGGGGCAGCAGAAACGAGGGGCTCCCTCCGACGAGGGCGGGGAGCAGAAGATAGAGAGGCCCGCACCCCGGCGCCGTCGAACGACGACGACGGCGCCGGCGCGCTCCCACGACGGCGCCGGCGACGACGACGACGAAGGACGACAGCGAAGGACAAGGACAGGGATGCGACAACGACAGGAGCGGCAGAGACGACGACGACGCAAACGACGACGACGGCGACGACTCGACGACTGCGGACAGTGGACCACGGACGACGAGGGATCACGGAAGACGACGACAACGACGACAACGACGACGACAACGACGACGACGGCGACGGCGACGACGGCAATGGCGACGGCGACGACGACGTAAGCGACGACGACGTGAACGACGACGACGACAACGACGACGACAACGCCAACGATACTGACCGACCCAGCGACCGGGCCGACCGACCGAGTATCGATAGCAGACGCCCGACGATCAAAATTCACAGAGCCATGACGAATTGACGAGGACAATGACGATGACGACGGCTCTTACGACGATTCTAATAAGCTGCGAAGACAGAGGGCGACGACGAGGACAAAGCCAACGACAAATGGCGACGACGACGTTCGCGACAACTACGACCGACGAGGATGACGACGAAGACGACAGTGGGACGACGGACGACGACTTGAAACCAACAACCAAGCGACGACCGACGACGACAACTGCAACAATCGACGGCGACAACTACAAAGGATCACAACGACGACCTCGACGACAGAAGAAGACGACGGCGAGGACGAACCGAAGACGAAACGAAGACGACGACGAAAAGAAGGACAACGACAAAGACGATGACGATGACGATGGCGACGATGACGACGACGACGAGGGGTCACGGACGACGACGACGACGACGACGACGACGACGACGACGACGACGACGACGACGACGACGACGGCGGCGGCGGCGGCGGCGGCGGCGGCGGCGGCGGCGACTGCGGGCGGGACCCTAACAGACGGACGCACTGGCCGGACCCGGGCGGGCGGGTCGGGCGGGCGGAAACAAGACGGGGCGAGCGGAGCGGGCGATCGGGCTGTCCAGAGAAATCCAGCGGGCGGGAACCCGACGGGCGGATGCCGGGCGGGCCACGACAGCGGGCGGTCGGACTCTCCAGCAGTCCTGGCGGGCGGTACACCCTCACAGGACGGAGCGCGCGGGCATGGCACAAGAGGGGCAGGCGGGCTTCCAAGCACCAGCCGAAGGACCCCCTCACCAGCAGGCGGGGCGGGCGGGCGGGACCCTGACGGGCGGGTCGGACGAAACGGGCGAGGGCGCGAAGGCCCAAACAGGTGGATCGGGCGGGCGGGACACTACCCAGCGGGCGGGACACTGCCAAGCGGGCCGGGCTGGAGCGACCCTAGCGGGTGGGTCGGAAGGGCGGGACAGCACATCGCGCGGGCGGGCGGGCGGGCCATCACATACATCGTCGTCGCCATGGTCGTCGTCGCCGTCGTCAATGTCGGCGTCGTGGTTGTTATCGTCGTCGATATAATCGTCGTCGCATCCTCCGGTCGCATTCGTGGCAATTACCATGGTCGTCGTAAAAGCCGTCGTCGACGTTGCCTTGTCGTTGTCTTCGTCCATCTTCATCTTTTGCCGGCGCGCCAGGGGAGAGGTCCCTTCGTTCCGTACTCTCCTCTGCTGGCGGCAGGTGCAATGAGGAGCTTCCCATGGTCCAGTACCCCCCACCCATGCCTTGTTGGGGGTCCCAGTGTTCCTAAAAACCAAGGACCCCAATTTGACCAGCTCCCTGGCAAAGCGCTCTTTGAAGTAAAGCGCAGTGCGCAGTCCTCCTACTACCTATCGTCCGAGTCCTCCTCCCTGTTCTGAACATCCTCCTCCGCATTCACATCATCCTCGTCCTCCTCCTCCTCCGCCTACTCATCCTATTTTTCCGCCTCTTTCTCCCCCTCCCCCTCCTCCTCCCCCCCTCCTCCTCCTCCTCCTCCTCCCCCTCCTCCTCCTCCCCTGCTCCTCCTCCTCCTCCTCCTACTCCTCCTCCTCCTCCTCGTCATCCCCCTCCTTCTCCTTTCTTTACCCTTCCTCTTTCTCCTCCACATCACCCGATGTCACGCGCTCGTTCTCGCGCTGGCACAGATGCGTGCGCCTGCCAGCATCTCCAAAACCTAATATCAGGCCCACCGTGCCAGGGACAGCGCCGCGCGGGGCTGTGATGATAGCATGCGCGGCGTGTTCTTCGAGAAAGGGATCGACAACAGAATTGAATTACCTCAAACTTGATTTGTCTCGTCGAGTCAATGCCCGTAGATCTACGAACGTTCTGCTTATTTTCGCGCATTCGACGAGAGCAGCGATTCTTGGAAGCTTCAAACACTACTCAACGCAGTCATTGACGAAGGCGCGAGGTATGGCTTGGATCTGAATTGAGATAACACTGTATGCATGCGTGTACATAACACTGGTACTTTGCTTTTTCCCGCCGGCGCGCCGCTGAAAATAGTGGAGCAAGCGGCGTATTTGGGAGGATTATTGAATGTAAAATGTTCAGCAAAACCTGGAATCACTCGGAGAATTGGTGAAGCCAAGTCTCTATCTAAAGCTCTGTCTCGCTGTTGGTCGCACGCTAATATATGCCGCGACCGGAAAATCCAACTGTATAAAGCAATTGTCTTGCCCAAGCTGCTGTATAATGTAGAGATTGCTTGGTCATGGCAAGCTGACAAAGCCCGTTTAGACAGTTTCCATGTGCAATGTCTGCGAAATATTTTCAGAGATCCGTCCGCGTGCGTGTCCAGAATTTCTAACAATGAAGTCCTAGAACGTGCGCAGGAGCCGCCGCTGAGCGAGACGCTCCGTGATCGGCAAATGAATCTGTATAGGAAGATTTCGGCACTCCCGGAAAATAATCTCCTCAAATTCGATACGTGTGAGCCTGGCACAAGGCTGCCTAGGCGATGGGCGCACAAAAGGAAGAGAGGGAGACCCAAACAGCAATGGGCTTCCAGCGTTGATTCGCTTTTGCCAGCAGGCGTGCTCTGATTGTTTTCGGCGCTCTCCCTCCTCCCCTCGCCCGTCCTCCTCCTCCTCGTCCTCCCCGCTTGTCCTCACAGGTGGAACCGATGCGTGTTCACTGAATTTCGCATCGCATCAACTGTCCGGCGACAATGCGCTGTGCTAACTTTTTATTTGCCAATGCGCCGTTCGAGTGCGGGGCTTGACTGACGACGAGAGTATGAATATTGGGGTACACCAATTGTGTAGTCGATCAGCTACTCGAGCACTTGAGAACTGGTCCAAATGAGTCCCAACCCCCGCATGGGGAGACCAAGACGTACCGATACCGCTGCGTCAGGTTCGTGCCGTGCCGACTTCGGCGTTGGCTTCTGACACCACGGGGATCGTTCGACCTTGAACGGTCGGCCGTTTCCGAAACGTCCGAATCGTTCCACATCGAATGATTCTGGGTCGCCTGCAGCGTTCAAAGTTGAACGCCGCTGGCGGGGGGTCGCCGCCGGTCGTCACCACACGAACCTACCGTACTCTCCCGAGCTCTCCCGGAGTGCGTTATGACCAGAGTTTCGAGGCGAACCCAGCGGTGGCGACGAGGGCACGCTGCCGAAATGCCGTTAAAGGCGTCTAGCACGGAACTGGGCAATGAAGGCGAGAAACCTACAATATCCCTCGACTCGGCCCCAAGACGTCGAAAACTAGGCCTGGGTAACAGTATCGGTTTCCTCCCCTGACCGCAGCCTTCCTCCAGCTCCAGCGGCCGCTTCGAGCAGAGGCGGCCGCGAATACAAAGCCGCACAGGCGGCAGCAGCACCGGCGGCGACTGCGACAAGATGCCAAGTGCACAAACATACGCTGCGCCTCAGTCGCAAGGCTGATCCCTCGGGCGCGAGACCGCTCGATGCCCCAAACCTGCCCACGATGCCTGCTGAGCGGAGGCAGAGTTGATGGCAGACACTGGCTCCCACGATAGGCGCCGCCCCAAAATCGGGCGTGGACTCGCCCGGCTCAGCGCATACCCGGCTCGGCCAATTCCGTAAAAAGTGCGCTGCAATGCGCTGCAATTGTAGAGGTGACATCCCTGACAAGGTCACCTCAGGGACCGCGAGCGGCTTCCAAACCCAGATCCGGCTATGCAGGATCCTTCAGGATCAGGCGCTCTGACTGTGCCCCGTTTGCGCTGAATGGGAGCCGCCCGAATGCACTATACACCTATACGACCATCCTGCGGGTGATGAGGAGGTTGAGGGGGGGGAGGGGGCCAGCAGTGGGCATCAGTGGTGATTGTTGCTCTGACCGGAGGGCCTCTTGGGGGCCTCTTGGGGCCTCCGGGGAGCTTCTTGGAGCGACCATTAAGAGCCTGTTCCGCCAACGTTCGTACTGGGAGCCTTGGTGTTCAGAGATTGTTGCGTTGCCGCTTGCTCTTGGCACAGCATACAGCACGGGATGTCGATGTGCCTGACGATTTGCATTTGCATTTGCTTATCGATGTGCATGTCGGTTTGCTTGTCGATCTGCATTTCGATATGTATTTCGATGTGCATCTCACTATCGGTCTAACTATCGATCCCACGATCGATCTCATTATCGACCTTACTATCGATCTCACTCGATCGATCTCACTCATTATCGGTCTCACTCGATCGATTTCACTGTCGATCTCACTCCCGATATCGTTTTCCATCCCACTATCGATCTCAGTATCGATATCACTCCATCGATCTCACTATCGATCTCAGTATCGATCTCTCTATACATCGATCTCATTCGATCGATCTCACTATCGATCTTACTCAATCGATATCACCATAGATCCCACTTTAGCTCTCACTATCGATCCCACAATCGATCTCACCATCGATCTCACTCGACCGATCTCACTATCGATCTCACTCTCGATTTCACAATCGATCTCACAATCGATCTCACTACTGTTTTCGCACCAGCGGGACAGCGGGACACCAGCGGGACACCAGCGGGACACCGGCGGGACACCGCGCGGCCCCGTTTGCCGGGGGTGGAATCATTTGGTCTGGCCGCGCCTAAGCCACAGGAGACTTTCCTCTGGCCCGCCCACGCAGCTTCGCCTCGCCCGCACGCACGGCACGCACGAACACGAAACCGAAACCGATTTCCCGGTGGGGGGCTCTCCGTTCCATTTCGATCTCACCCCCCAACCTCCGACCGTAAGGTGTGAGGGTTTCTAACGAAGAACCTCTCACGCTCACCTACTCCGAAAATTGCCAACTGCCCTGTGCGCGGTGGCGGTTGCGACCATAACTTCATGGTCATGCTCCTGTCCCCGACTCAGCCCCGCTACCTGCCAGCTGACGGATTTGGACGCCCGATATGGGTACGGAAAAAATGGGTGCAATGCCAATGCCCAACAGCAGATGTTGTCCCAAACCAACAGCGGCCGCTGTTGGGCGGGCGGCCTTCGGTCTCGAATGGACACAGGCCGCGGCGGCGCGGACAGCGAGCCCTGTTCAAAACGAACAGGAACAGCTGTTGGGCATCGTTGAAGGGGCCCTGGGACACACAAACAAATACACACAAATAAAACGATTCCCCATATTTTCCCATATTTTCTGGGTTTCTGTCTTCCCCCCCACTTCCCATATTTTCCCATATTTCCCTGGGGAATCGAGGATTACTTGTGTCTGTGTGTTTCTTTTCCTCCTGAATTCTTTCCGTGCCCAGATCGGGCGTCCAGCACGGAAACCGCGGGGCCAGTGCCCGGCGCCGCCGGGAAGCACGAGATGGGCCCTCCGTCATGGTGGTCTGGATCTCCATCATGCGGCTGTTCGTGGTGTACTTCTGCGCCTCCTGCCGGCGGCGCGCGGAGGGGGGGCTGGGATTGACGAAGCAACAACACACACACCCATACCCACAGGGGGATCGGAGAGGGATATGGGTGCGTGCTGTCGGATGGGGGTCCCCGCTCGAACGGGAGCGCTCCCCAGAGTCCGACAACCCGCACCCATACCCATAGCCAGTCCTCCTCCCAACGACCTCCCTATGGGTACAGTCGGGGCGTTGACCCAAGGAACCCTAAATAAGGAACGAGGCCCTTTTTTCCATAAGTTAAACTTCGATTTGCGATCGAACACATAAGGAAAACCTGAGGCAAGCTGCGAAACACTTGAGGAACGCGGAGCCCCTCCCCAACGAAAAGGGTTCCATCTTCAGGGCCCCGACTGTATGGGTGTGTGTTGCTCGTTCGCCAGGGAGGGCAGCAGCGGGGAGGCAGGCCTCGCCTCGCCTGGGTCGCATCACGAACTCGCATCGGATCGGGAACGCCTCGGGCCGGCTGCGACTCGTCCCGCATCGGGCGCCGATATCGGATCGCCGCCCCCGGCGCCGGCTGGCACCGGCCGGAGCTGGGGGATCGGCATCGCAGGCCCCAGCCGGCGAGTCGAGTCGCCTCGAAGCGAATCGCAGGCGGCCCGGAGCGGAGGAGCGAAAGGAGGCGAGGAGAGGGGGGAAGAGAGGGGAGAGGGGATGGGGAGGGGAGGGGAACGGAGAGGAGGAAGGAGGGGGGAGGGGTGGCAGAGCAATCGTGGTCAAGCTGGCCAGGTGTGCCGTGCGCTTCGCCCGGTTGCCTTCCAGCGCCTGGCTGACAGCACGGGCTCAGGCACTCCGGGTGCCGTTCGGCGGTCTCGCTTTGCGCTGTGCACCCGACTCTGGGACTGGCGGACCGGCGTGGGCAGCGGGGTCGGACCGTCGAGGAGCAGGGGGTCAGAGGTGATGCTCTGGCACCCGCCTTTGCACATCGCCTCTCCCCTCTCCCCTCCCGCCTCCTGCCTGCCCCCCCTCCCATCACTTTTCCAACCTCCCCTCACACCCCACTTTCTCTACACTCCCTTCCGCTGCACCGCCCGATTCCTAGAGCCTCAGACTCTGGCCAACCCACGGCTCTCTCGCCTCCCCGCTCCGCTCGGGAAGGTGGCTCGGACGATGCATGCTCGCAGCGCCGCTCCTCTTACGAAAAGCGGGCGCGGAACAACAAGGGCACGGAACGCCCATCCGCGGGCTGGCCGTTACAGAAGATCTCTGAGCACCGCCCTACTGTCATCGTGCTGCTACAAGAACGCCAGTTGAGGAACGGGGGGGGGCCTCCTGTCCCGGCGAACCTTGGCAACGACCAGGTTTTCCGACCTAGATTTCCGGAGCCACAGGGGATCTGTCGACCCCTATCCTAGGCTTCGTGGTGTTTTCGACTGGACTAGAAATTTCGGGCGCGACCATGGGATATGCGAAGGCGGGGCATCCATCCTAGATAGGGGTGCGTCCGAATAGCCCCCTTGGAGCGCATCCCAAGGCCCCTCTCCTTTCCTGAGCGGCTCCACTTCTATCTAAAAGCCGGGGGCTGGAGGCAAACAAATCGCAGCGAAGGAGCCGCTTGGAAACCAGAACCCCAGCCTCCTGAGCCTGAAGTGACCCTTACTCCAGCATCTCGGCTGCAATGTCAGCTCGTGGTCAACAAAATCCGTGGGGGCGGGCTCTCTTTTCTTAATTTCTATGAACTCGCCGGCCCAACGGGCCAAGGGCGTGCTAAGATGCCCGGCAACTGGTTAACGCTGTGTCTCGTTCGCGCGCGCGGGGCCGCCTCTGGGGGCCCCCGGACGAGAAGTACCCCGGCGAGGTCCCGGCAAGGATCGGCAACGTCCCATGCAGCGAGGTCCCAGCAGGGTCCCGGCAAGGTTCCGGGCAGGTGCCAACAGGCTCCCAAGAGCGCCCCAGGAGCGCTCCAAGTGGCCTCCAAGAGCTCCACATGGTCCGAGACGGTCGGTCCACTAGCGATCCAAGACGCCAGAGATGGCTTCCATACAACCGAAAACGCTTCCATGCTGGCCCAATAAGCCTCCAAGAGACCCCCCAAGAGGGCCCACAGAGGCAGACATCTATAACCGGCGTTCTCGCCTTGCCGGCTTACCGGCGTTCACAGACGGCCCAAAAGGATTCGACGATCGCCCTAACGCAGCCCAAAAGGCTTCCTACATCACCCAAAACTGCCCCAGAGGGCCCAGAACTGCCCCCAGGGCGCCCAAGATCGTCCAAGAGAGCCCCAAACCAGCCCCAAGAGGGGCCCAGAGGGGGAACGCGAACCAACAATTCAAGCCTTCCGCCCCAAGAGGCCCCCAGGAGGACCCAGGAGGCCTCTTGAAGGCCCCACGAGGCCCCCAAGAGGCTCAAAAACAAACCCCAAAAGGCCCCCAAACGGCCCACCAAGAAGGGGCCCCAAGAGGCCACGGACGCGCAGGCTAACTTCTGCGATGGCACAATACAGGCCGGCGGAATGAGCGAAGCGATTAAATAAAACATGCTCGGGCGAATCACGAGGGGGCGCCCGCCAAATCGAAACGCACGGTGGCGGCGCTGGTGTTTGGCGCCGACAGCAGGAGGACGACAGGCGCGACGCAAGCGGCGCCGTTTCAGCGGAGGGGGACAGCAGCACTTCCGATATAGCGGGGTGTCTGGGCCAAAATGGCTACAGTCAGGAAAGAAAGAAGAAGGCAGGGGAAAGAGGCGACTCGGCTGGCGGGCGGTGCCAACATGGCTACACATATAATGAAGGAAAAGAGGGGAAGAAGCGGAAGAGGCAGGCGGGAACGGTTTCTCCTTGTCCTTCTCCCCCCCTCCACTACGATGCCCTACGACGACGACGACGACGGAGACGGCGACAGCGACGGCGATGGCGACGGCGACGGCGAGCGACGGCAACGGCGACGGCGACGGCGGACGACGACACACTGCGGATGCTTCATGGGGGGGCCGGGGTGATGCGCATGCCCGACGATGTCGTCGACAACGACGACGGCGAGAGCGACGACGACTACGACGACGACGACGACAACGACGGCGACGGCGACGCACTGCGGATGCCCTATGGGGGGTGGGGGGGGGTTGCTGCTTAGGCCCACTGTAGGCGTCGACGACGACGATGACGAGTAGGCCCAGCGTAGACGACGACGACGAAGTCGACGATGTCGACGACGAGAACGAGGAGGACGAGGAGGAGGACGAAGACGACGGACACCGGACGGCGACGGCGACGACGACCACGAAGACGAAGACGACGCACTGCGGATGCCCTATGGTGGGATGGGGGGAGCTGCGGAGGCTCGCTCTAGTCGACGACGACGACGACGAGGACGACGACGACGACGATGACGACGATGACGACGATGACGACGACGACGACGACAACGCGACGACGATGGCTGCGACGACGACAATCCTCGGATGCCGCATGGGGGGGGGGGACCTGCGCAGGCCCGCTGCAGACGACAACGACGACGACGGCGGCGACGGCGGGGACGACGACGACGACGACGACGACGACGACGACGACGACGACGACAACGCGACGACGACGGCGGCGACGACGACGACCCTCGGATGCCGCATGGGGGGGAACCTGCGCAGGTCCGCTGTAGACGACAACGACGACGACGATGGCGACGACGACGACGGCGACGGCGACGGCGACGGCGATGACGACGACGACGCCTGAGAGGTGAAGGAAGAAATCCCGCGAACTTCTCTACGAAAGTCAATCGCTACGATGCCGTCATGGTGGGGGGGTACACGATTCCATTGGCGGCGCCCGCGACGACCCCCTGGCGCGCGTGACCAAAAACTACTCACTGCGTGGAGCTCCCCATATGTGCATATATTCGCATGGACCCGTCCGCCGTGAGCGTCTAGACGCAATGGTTTTCGGATATGAGAGGGCTTAATGTATAAACGGGGTTTCGTATTGTTGAGTTCGAGTGTCAGTTAGTCTAGGTATGAGAGAGTCCGAGGCCGAGTGGGTCTGAGAATGCGTAAATCAGAGTATGAGCGAGTCTGAGCGAGAGTGGCCTGAGTGCGGGTAAGTCTGGGTGTGAGTGGGTCTGAGTGTGAGTCTAAGGAATACGAGTCCGAGCCTGAACGGGTTTGAGTACGAGTGAGTCTGACCACGAGCGGAAGAGTGGGTCTGAGGGCGAGTGATTCTGAATGCGTGCAAGCCTGAATGTGAGCGCTACTGAGCTTGAGTATGATGAGTAAAAGTCTGAGTCAGAGTGAGTCTGAATACGAGTGAGTCTGACTACGAGCGAGTCTGACTACGAGTGAGTATGAGGGTAGGTGGGTCTAAGTGCGAGTGAGTCTGAGTGTGCGTAAATATGAGCGTGAGTGAGTCTGAGTATGAGTGTGATGAATACGAGTTGGAGAATGAGTGAATCTAAGCACGAATTAGGTTGAGCATAAGAGAGTCTGGGAAATCCTCACCATCAAGCGCCTCGCCAGAGGCATCCTCAGAAGGTGCTTTGAGCGCAAGCGAGGCTGGCCAGCAAAACAAGCAAACCGTTCGAGACGTCCCTTCCAGATGTGCCCCCAGCGTTGCGAAAACCAGCGTCTCGCCCGAGACATCATCAGAACATGTTCCGAAAGCGGAGGATGTTGCGGCAGTGAACATGCAAACCATTCAAGACATCCCCGCCAATTTGGCGCGAACGGACGAATGCAATACCCCCTGGCGAACGAAAAACAGTGCCTCGCTCGAGACATCCTCAATATGTGCTCCGAAAGTGCAGGATGCGGTGGCAGCAAGCAAGCAAACCACTCGAGACACCCGCGCCGTTTTGGCGCGAACGGAGAATTGCAATACCCCCTCGAGGCTCCCCCCCTTAGGGGTGCTGAACCCCGCGCCTCGCTCGAGACATTCTCAGAAATTGCTTCGCCATCATCATCGTTATCGTCATCACCATCATCATAAAGATCAGAAGCATCGTCATTATCAACAGCAGCATCGCCGTCAATATCATCATTCCCATCAGCAT